CCTATTGTTTCAATCAAAATCGTTTAAATCAATTGAGTATAAATCAAAACCAGATAGTTGTATATATATATATATATATATATATATATATATATATATATATATATATATATATATATATATATATATATATATATATATATATATATATATATATATATATATATATATACAACTATCTTGACTATAAAAAAAATATATATATATATATATATATATATATATATGTATATGTATATATATATATATATATATATATATATATATATATATATATATATGTATATATATATATATATTAATATATATATATATATATATATATATATATATATATATATATATATATATATATATATATATATATATATATATATATATATATATATATATATATATATATATATATATATATATATGTATATATATATATATATATATATTAATATATATATATATATATATATATATATATATATATATATATATATATATATATATATATATATATATATATATATATATATATATATATATATATATATATATATATATATTAATAAGAAAACATCAAATAATACGAATTCTCTTAATACAAATGATAATTTATTATTAGAACTTTTTGCTGGATTATGGTTACCAGCATCATCAGCTCGTAAAAATTGATACAAAATTTTTTAACTTTAAAAACAGTTTAAAACTTACTGACGTCATCAATTGAATGGCTTCTTTCTTGCTTTCGTAAAAAAGTAAAAAACGGATTCCAAAATTTAGTTTTAACAAATTGCCCGATATCTAGATTAATGCCACCATTTAATGGAGAACATTGATACCTCTGTATTTCAAGAGCTTCGCGCACTTTTCGATCAAATTTTTTTGTTTCCACTTTAATTGTTTTAACATCCTCCCACTTTATTTATTGTGAGCAAAACTTATTATGGGTGGCTATTGCCGACTAATAATGTTTCCACTCGTTTAAACTTTTTTGATGTTGTTGAATTCGAGTCCTAATTTGAAGTTTGGTTTCGCCTACGTATCTCTTTGAGCATTCACATTCAATTAGATAAGTTCCGGGTTGACTATTTTGTGGCAATTTAGTTTTATTTTTTAATGTTAAAAGTGTTCTTAAATTAGGATTTGATTTGAAGACTACTTTATAGCTAACTTTCCGAAATATTTTCCTTAACTTTGGGGAAAGTGATAGTATCCACGGTAATGATACAGTAGGGAGATTAAGTGGACCTGGTTGAATTTTGTTGCTTTTTTATGGACCGTTTATTTCCGATTAAGTTTGCAATGCGTGAAGTTCACATATGTTGTATCCATTCTCTTTAAATACGTGAATTAGGAAATTAATTTCATCTTTTAAATATAAATCACTGCATCTAGAGTAAGCTCTGTGAACGTAACCTTTAAATATTGCGTTTAGAATTTTGGGGTCATGATTTGAGTGAGGTTTAATTTGAATATTAGTAATGGCGTCCTTTCTGTAAACTTTAAACTCGTATTTACCTTTGGTGTTATTTACTATGGTTAAATCGAGGAAAATTAGAGTTCTATTTTCACTTTCAATTTCAATTGTATATTGTATTGCAGGGTGTTGTTTGTTCAAGATAATTAGGAATTGTTCTGCTTCTTGAGCGTTAGAAAATCTAGCATGACTATCGTCAACATATCGAAGATAGGATTTTAGGTCAAGAGGAGGATTTAATGCCATTGCAATTTTAAAAGCGTTTTCTTCATAATGTTGTAAAAAAAGAATCTGCTGAATGAAAGGCTTATAGGACCGGAATTCTCCAATTCATGGATCTCATTGTTCCACAAGAAATAACAACGGTGTAAACAAAGTTCTATAAGTTGTCTTGTTTCGGATATAGTAAGCTTGGTGGAATGTTTGTAGGAATCATCTTTATTTAATTGGTCTATAAGAATTAAAGTGGCTTCTTCTAGTGGAATTGATGGATACAGATTTATTACATCAAATGAAACCTGAACTTCGTTTTTTTTAATCTGCCAGGAACTTGCTTTACTAATAAAATCAAACGAATTTTTCAGACCTATTTTTTTTTAAAACAGGTTGTATTTTCTCGACTAAATAATAAGATATTCCATTATTAGGAGTGCTGATAGTTGATATAACTATTCTCATAGGATAAAATTTTTCAGGTTTATGAGCTTTAATTAGACCATACATACGAGGTGGGACAGGGTCACTTGGATATATATAGCCATACTCTGTTTTTGAAAATCGCTGTATTTATTAAGTTGTGAGAGGTTTTAATTTTAATACCATACTTAGAAGTGGGATCTTCACTTAAAACTCTTGTTTGGCCAATTTGTTTGCAAATTTTTTCTAAAGCTTTATTGTGTTCTATTTATACAAAACCATTACCTTTATCAAATGGATATATATCGATAAGTTTGTCTTCCTTAATTTCAATAAGAGCTTTCCTTTGTTCTCTAAATAAATTTTGATTTAATTTTTTACCCATTTTATGTTTTTTTAATACATTTCTCAAACCCTGCGCATTTTCAATCTTGTTGATATATTCTAGTTTTAAAGCCGAGGTCTCAGTTGTTGCTATAATATCCATATAAGGTATACATTTCAACGAAGGTACAAAATGTGGACCAAGATTAAGAAGATTGTTTTGGTTTTTTAGAATATCGACATTGCATAGGTTTAAAACAGCCTTCTTTGTATGCGTTGTTAATTTACAGACTTTATTATTATGATTATTTTTAAATTCGTTTTTTAGGATTTCAAACTTTCTAAGTAATCTTTCTTTTGATTTTATAAACATTATTTCGCGAGCTTTTTCAGTAACTTGTTCAACTTTTTTGTAGTCTATTTCATCAAGAGTAAAAAAATTTCTAATAAAAGTTATATCTTTATTTACCAGTTTTATGGTACTCGTGAAACGTCATAAAATTATACTGTTATTATGTCTTATGTTTATTATTAATATGATTTGATGGAAATTCAAGTGGAAAAAATATTTTTTTTAGTAAGTACAGTAACAAGCGGAAGCTGGCGGAAACAGACAATCAAAATGCCCGGCCTACCAGGATATTTCCGGTGTCCAGGTGGGCTAGTCCAACCCTGTTTACAAGCATTGGACATGGTTCATACTGTACCTGGAAAACCTGGAAAGTTAGTTCATTTTAGCTAAAGTCATGGAAAGCTTGAAAAATAATTTTTTTAACTTTAGAATCCTGATTGAGAAATTACTCATTTACAATTAAGCTACTATCTTTATTTGTGTAACCCATTTATTTTTTCTACATCTTTTTTTTTTCTTAATATTCATTTTTAGTCATCCTTAATAAAATGATCCATACTATTATGTATAATAAGATCAATACAAGTATCCAACATACCTAATAGCTAAGTTTTATAAGTTTTGTCGTTCAAAGCATGCACAATTTTAGCATTTCCATTACAGTAGATAGTAATTTTAAACATTTTGTAAAAACCATTGTTAAAAATGGTCAGGAAAGTTCATCTGATTTTTCAAAAAGTCATTAAATTTTATATAAATAGAAACATTGTTTTAATATGATATTTTTTGTTTTACAGTGCAATCTGAATCTTACACATTAACGAGAATTGTTTTGTGTCAGTGCCAGAAATTGAATGCACACCTGCAAATTTCAAAATTCATTTAGCAAGTTTATATTTTTAACCATTAAATACTTGCCCCTTTGTCTTTAGTTTTATTTGCTTTATTATTAAATGTTACATTTACTTTTAAAAACTTTTATTAACTCTAAATGTTATATGTAAGTTGTTGTATAGTTTTATAAGAATATTGTTAATTTTATTATTTTAAGATAAAGTTGTATTCTCTAAAGATATGCAGGTTTTATTCAGCCAGCAAGTCATATCCGGGCCCAAGTGGACGGCCCATATGGGCTGCATATTTGGGACCCACTTGGGTCTAACTTTTTTATGAATTTAATTTTTTTAAATTTTTTGAATAATTATTTATTTGTTTTTTATTGAGACACATTTATTTTAAGATGAAGTCATATATATGTCACGTGAGTCTGGTTTAATAGAAGTAAAACAGGAATTCAAACATAGAAAGAGTAAGGTAAACATTAATAAACATTTATAACTATACCACAGTACTTAAATAATAAAATAGTAAAAGTAACAGTCTTATATAAACAATTAAATTCAAAGCTTTTTTAGTTTTATGGTTTATCTTCCTCCGGCTAGTTGCCATATAGCGTCCACATTTCTAAGACTCGCAAAAACAAGTATGACTCCCCAAGGAGCGTCATAACTCGCTCTACAGACCAAGAGTAAATAATATTGGGAAGAACGAAGATATGTTAGAGTGAAAGAAAAATTTAGTCGAGTAAAAAGAAAGCCTAAAGAAAGCGCACACGATTGCACACGATGTTAGAAGGTGCAATACGTTGATATACACATAATTGATTTTAATTATTTGTATATATCAATTATGTGTATAAACAGTCAATCATTGTATGTTTTAATTGAAACCTTTTTTTAATTAATTTTATATCTCTTAACATGTCTTTAAGAGATATATTATAAAATATATCTCTTCAAGACATGCCGTTTTATTTAATTTTTAGCTTGTGGGTTTATAAATCTCACAAAACTGTTTTCTCTGCTTTGTGTTTTTATTTCTTAACAGAAAATGGTTTCTTTTTATATATTTTGCTAATGCTAGCAAACTTAAGTACCATCAAGACTTTGAAAATTTCAGTCTTAAGGTCAGAAATAGCATTAATCATTATTACTGGTTTTGACAAAAGAGATTTTTAATTTTATAACAGTTTTAAATTATTTAATTATTAAATCATTTTTACATTCCTACTTTATAATTTTTTCTACTTTAACTGAATTGAAGTCATTCAATATTAAATGTTTAGCAAGATTAATTTTTATATATCCTTAAATATAAAATAAAACAATCATTAGAGAAACTCTAGAGACTAGAATCTGTGGGTTTTGACTTAAGTAG